CAACATAGTATTTATTTATTTTATTTTATTTTATTTTTTTTTTATTAGTGTATTTGTAAATTATAAAAACGAGCAATATAATTTGACCCAAATAAATAAACAAAGCGACTTCCGGTAAAAAATAACCGCCATAATAGAATACCCACAATGCACCACTAACCCGTATATATATAAATAGCCGAGAAAAATAACAGCATATGTGGCCTGACGATTGCATATAGCATGAAACAGACTGTCGCCTCTAAGTGTTGACTTCTATGTTCACTTTTATATTTACACACGCTCTATCTCTGATATTGAGCACTTTATCCCATAAATATAGCACACCTTAAGACTATATATATATATATATATATATATATATATATATATATATATATATATATATATATATCCATAAATATATATATATATAGAGAGAGAGGGGGGGGGAGAGAGAGGATAATGGATACCGGCTTGGATTGAGGAATCGGAGAGCCGAGTTCGAATTCCAGTCGAATCCATTGCATTCACTTATGTGCTAATAACCTTGGGAAAGGTGTGAATCCTCTTCTTCTCCCGCCAGCTATGGGTAAATAGCAGGACAGACCAGGTTCTATAGCCTTGGATGGCAACTGGTCCAGGAGAAAGGACAACTCTGAATTCAAACACGGAGTTGAGCCCCTAATGCGGATGGACGGCACTTTGTGCTACCTTCCGGCTACTCCTGCACCAATCAATTGGACGTCTTCGGCCAATCAATAGGACCTCTTCTGCCAATCAATTGGACCTCTTCGACCAATCAATAGGACCTCTTCTGCCAATCAATTGGACGTCTTCGGCCAATCAATTGGACCTCTTCGGCCAATCAATTGGACCTTTTCGGCCAATCCCCTTTCTCAGGAGATGTTTCATCAAGATACTCAGTTATAATAATATAACCGATTCATAAACCTATTCCACATACAGTCCACCTACTTTTCGACCTCCCCCCTGTGTATATTGCCAATTATTGTCATTATAAACATTTTTCCTGTTCATTTTATTCTTAATGTGTTTTTATTGCATTTAAATTGTTTACACTCACTATTTTATTCTTATTTATTTATTAATATTATTCTTTGTGGAAAAATTGATTGTTTGTCAGGCGGGAAAGGAGTTGTGTACTTATCCGGTGTTGTTGAAATCATTAGCAAACAAAAAGCTGGTATCTTGACTAACTCTTTATAGTTACTGTGGTCACGCGACAGGGTTACCATGCGATCTCTAAAGGAGAGGAAATCTATATCTCTTTATTTAAACTTACCTGCCATGTTATCAGACTGTTATTTTATCACGGGAAACAGCAATCTATTTTGCAGCTTAAAGTAAATGCTATTGTTTTTTTTTTTTTTTTTTGCCTCGGCCTGATCAGTCTCTGTTCGTTTGATGGGATGGGAGAGCATTTTCTCAACATCTTATTAATGTTTTATTGTTATCTATTTATTTCTTTTAGGGCCATGGGTCTATATTTAAAATAGAATGGCCTAATAAATATTATCTTAAGCTCTGTCCTAATCTTAGTTGCCAAATTCCAAAGTTGTGTTTTTAGGTCAGGTGGATTTGTTATTAGCACTATTTACACGTCTTATTTTAGCTATCATATTACGAACTATTTGCTTTTATGTTATTTACACGACTCTTACTATTGTCCTCATCTTGCCTGTTATAATCACAACCTCTCAGAGATTAGTAACCACTAAAATTATTTATTTATATATATATATATATATATATATATATATATATATATATATATATATATATATATATATATATATATATATATATATATATATATTTATGGGATTTATGGGATAAAGTGCTCAATATCAGAGACGATTGCGTCTAACATGAAACAGCCTTTTGCCTCTAAGTGTTGACTTCAATGTTCACTTATATATATATTTTAAGACATTTTTATGTTTATACATTCTTTTTATAGATACAAATATTTAAGTAAATGCTCTGTTTATAATAAACAGTATTAAGCAACATTTACCAGCCTGAATGTCAGAGAAATTGTCATAGAAAATATGCGTCCTCCGACAGGAATCGAACCTGTATCCTATACGGAACCGTCATTTAGCTTAACGTGCTTTTAGCGATTTCACCACAGAGGAGCGTTTCGGTTAGCAAGGTCGATTTTACTGGTTTTAAACTACAATTTTCCCTGATTTTCTCTCGTAAATTCATATCTGCTCGATGCGTATCCACATGTAAACAAATGACGTCACACATTATGAAATGGACAAAGTCCGACGATTATTTTAAGACATTCTTATGTTTAAACATAAAAATGTTTTAAAATAATTGTCGGACTTTGTCCATATATATATATATATATATATATATATATATATATATATATATATATATATATATATATATAAAAGAAAGAAAGAAAGAAAGAACAGTAAGATTTATAATCCGGTGTTCTTATAGATATTTTTATTTTTACAAAATAGTGCTCAATGTAAATTTACAGAGCATTAATATTATAAATTAATTGATTTAAAATATGTTTTTCCTCTACACAGTTCTAACCATGTTTCAAAAATGGAAGCTAAAAGCTTAGAATTTAATTTTGTAATTAAATTAAAGACATTAGTTCCATTTCATCCTCAAGCGAATTATGGAGTAGCTTTTTAAAAATTACTGGGTTTTAAAGACACAGCTAAAATTATAATTCATGTTTCCAAGTTTACATATAAAACCACTTTTACTAGACTAGGGGTGTCTGCTGCGTTCATTATGTCTATATTTAGATGTATCAGTTATTTGCTACGGTTCAGAGGGGGGGTAGGAATGTATTTTTCAATGAAATCTAACATCCGTTAAATGCTTGTCGTCTGGATTTTTTAAAAAAATTTTTATTGTTAACGGCAAAAATTCTGACGGCATTTTTTTCCTATTTTTTATATTTAAAGATTTTTGGTGGTGTTTAGGGTAGAATACGCTTTAATTAACTAAGATTTGAAATATTTTCACTTTTAATTTTTAATATACTATATTTGTTTTAAGAACAATTAAATGTATTAGAATCCCTTACAGTATGTAGAATTATTTTCACTTCAAGTATAAGTATGTATGTTATTAGGTTACAATTTTTTTTTTTTAAGTAAAATTTATGACCATCACGGCAAAAATAGCTACTTACTTTCACTGATTTAGTAAACTTTTATTTTTTATATATAAACGTAGTGATATATTGTTTCTCATGTAAGTACAAAGGACATGGGTCATTCAAAAGCTTACATCTTCTAGCATTTCATATTAATTTCATTTTACTTTGGGTGTTTTATTGGATTCTTTTAAGTTCGTGTAGTACAAATAGGGATGTCTTTTGGTTAGGAGACGTTTTATTTAATTACAATTTAAAAGAGGTTTAGGTTAGGATTCATTTTATTTAACTACAATTTTAATTACATCTTTAAAATATTTTCATTGTTAGTTTTAATAGACTATATTTCTTTTAATTACTTACAGTAAGTAAAATTATTTTTCTATATCAAGTATATGTATATTACGATTTTTAAAATTTTATATTTAAATATTATTTAAGTAAAATTTATGGCACTATCGGTAAGGATAGCTAATTCATTTCTCTGATTTAGTAAACTTTATTTATTTTTATATATAAACTTAGTAATATATAGTTTCACATGTATGTACAAAGGACATGGGTCATTCAATGGCCTACATTTTCAAGCTTTTCGTCATAATTTCATTTTTCAGTAGGTGTTTTATAGGATTCATTTAAGTGCCGGTAGTACTTTTGAGAGATGTTTAGGTTAGAATACGTTTTATTTAACTACAATTTTAAAAGATGTTTAGGCTAGAATTCGTTTTAACTACAATTTTAAATGCAACATTAAAATATTTTCACTGTTATTTTAATACACTATTTTTTTTTTAAAGAAAAACCAGTAATCTAACAGTATATAAAATTATTTTTTCCTGTTAAATATAATTATGTATATTACGTGATCGCACCTTTTTAAATTTACTTTTATTTTTAAATATTATTTAAGGAAAATTTTTGACAATGACGGCATAAAATAGCTATTTCATTTCTCTGATTCAGTAAATTTTTATTTTTTATAAACTTAATAATATGTAATTTCTCATGTATGCACAAAAAACATGGATCATTTAATGACCTACATATTCTAGCTTTTCTTATTAACTTCCATTTTACTGTAGGTGTTTTATTTGATTCTTTTAGGTGCCAGAAGTAGCAAATAACTGATACATCTAAATATAGACATAATGGACGCGCAGACACCACTAGTCTAGTAAAAGTGGTTTTATGTGTAACCTTGGAAACATGAATTATAATTTTAGCTGTGTCTTTAAAACCCAGTAATTTTTAAAAAGCTACTCCAAAATTCGCTTGAGGATGAAATGGAACTAATGTCTTTAATTTAATTACAAAATTAAATTCTAAGCTTTTAGCTTCCATTTTTGAAACATGGTTAGAACTGTGTAGCGGAAAAAATATTTTAAATCAATTAATATATATATATATGTGTGTGTGTGTGTGTGTGTGTGTGTGTGTGCGTGCGCGTGTATGGTGCGTCAGGTATTTGAGAGCTTCCTTTAAGCGGGCCATAATATCTAAGCGCCATGCGCTATATCTAATTTATTCTCTTTTTTTTTTCACTATTTGAATCCCACTGAACTACTTTGCCTGAGGTATCGTCGAGTAGAAGGCCTAGCAGCGGCTTCACAATGGCCAAGGTCTCGTTGAAGGTCACCGAACGAGAAAAAACCTGAAATTTCACTTTATGATACTGACTAAAAAAAAAATGTTCGTTTGGTCGATTTAGTTTCTTTTGACTATTCATTTTATATTTCGCATCATTTCACAATACTAATCTACTCAAATTATTTCTTGCCGGACAATCAACTGTTTTATCATACATTTAACCCAATGCTATGTTCTCTTATTCATATTTAGTTGTTTATGTTTTTTAAACTGGGATAGATAGATAGATAGATAGATAGATAGATAGATAGATAATGAACATACTAAGATAGATAGATAGATAGATAGATAGATAGATAGATAGATAGATAGATAGATAGATAAACATAATAAAATAGATAGATAGATAGATAGATAGATAGATAGATAGATAGATAGTGAACATAGATAATGGACACACTAAGTTCTAAATATTTCTTACGTAATTTTACGTTTTCAATTACATAATTTGATACTTTCAGGGTAAAAGTATGTTTTTTTTTTTAAGATATATAGTGTGTAGATCATAAAATGTATTGTTGTTAATTTTACTATAAAAATCTAGTTTGAAATTTTTGTCAGTGTTGCATTGATTGTCATTTTACTATAAAAATATATTGTTGATTTTTGTTTGGTGGTTGTCTATTTACCCATAGCCGGGACAATAAAAGGAGTAACCATTCTGGGTTAGTTAAGAGGTGGTTCCACGGTCCTCAAAACCTCCAATATCCCAATCGGAGTCATTGCTACTGAATAGATTATCGTCATAGTCAGGACGAGATAGATAGATAGATAGATAGATAGATAGATAGATAGATAGATAGATAGATAGATAGATAGATAGATAGACTGAGAGAGAGATAGTAAATTAGATAAAGAATATACTGAGATAGATAGATAGATAGATAGATAGATAGATAGATAGATAGATAGATAGATAGATAGATAGATAGACTAAGAGAGAGATAGTGAGTTAGATAAAGAACATACTGAGATAGATAGATAGATAGATAGATAGATAGATAGATAGATAGATAGATAGATAGACTAAGAGAGAGATAGTAAGTTAGATAAAGAACATACTGAGATAGATAGATAGATAGATAGATAGATAGATAGATAGATAGAGAGAGAGAGAGAGAGAGAGAGATAGTAAGTTTGATAAAGAAACATAGATAGATAGATAGATAGATAGATAGATAGATAGATAGATAGATAGAAAGAAAGAAGGTGGAGTAAATAAATCCCATGGATGATACATTGTTATCGAAATTTGATTTCGGATTTTCATTATATAATGTTTGTTTTATATAATTAATATTCATCGGTGATCAACGAAAACGATTATGTTGAAAAATAAATATTCTTTTTGTATAAATAAAATGTTCGTTTTTTTTTTTCATTATTATGTTTATAGGCCTTGGATATTTTGCTCTACCTACGTATATTACCTCTTTCCTTATCTAATATACCCCCACATATCGTCAAAAATGCCTCACATATCAGTACGATCGTGGATTAATATGATCTATCCTCAAGATATTCCCTGCATATGGTGTAAGCAAAGATTACGATAAATAGCTTACTCCGTCTCCTCGAGTAATTGTTAATACTTTTACTAGTGTGAATTCGAACAATACTGAATGCGCCATATTCGAGGCATTGTATCACACAATTTTACTATTATTCTGAAAAACTAGGTTGCTAAATAAATACATGGTGTCCATAAAGTTCGTGTGCTCTTTAAAAAATTTATAACTTTGTATTTGCGATAGAAATAATCTGTAAAAAAGTTATAAAGTTTAATGTACCTAGTTTTAAGTATGGCTAAAATAACTAATGTGATTTCAGGCCTTACTGTAAATCAGTTAGCAAATGTTTTCCGTGAACTGTAAAATCGTATTACCCTTTGTATTGCTAATGATGGAGGACATGTGGAAACTTAAATAAAATTTCAATAAAACCTTTAAAAATATAGATTTACTTCTAACTCTTTTTATAAATTATTTCTATCGCAAATACAAATAAACTTATAAATGGTTTAAAGTGCACGCGAACTTTATGGGCTTATATATATATATATATATATATATATATATATATATATATATATATATATATATATATATATATATATATATATATATACGTGTCCGAATTTTCATTTTAACATTGAATAGGCTTGATTTGATTTGACGGAAATACAGGAAAATCAGTGATGGGTCAAGCTTATGATAGTAAAATCAATCGACTATTTATCGCGAAATAAAGCTCAGATATTCATTTTCTTATCAAATAAAGAAAAATTTTAAGAAATTACAAAATCTCCTACAGACGGTAGCGACGAACAATAAGAAGAACAAGAAGAAAGAATGAATGTTCATCACTAACAGGATGAGCCCGAAATGCGAACACTAGAACGAAGCAGACGCGGAAGTTTAAATATCTGGGAAGCGTCTTGACAAAGGGCGGCAAGTGCGACACTGAGATCCGTAGACGTATTGGGATGGCCAAGGATGCATTGCAAAAACTGGGCAAAGTACTGCGAGACAGAAGGATATCTTTGGTAACGAAGAAAAGAATACTGAACTGTTACGTGACATCTGTTCTTCTTTACGGCAGCGAATGTTGGATGATTTCTTCAAAAATGAAGAGACTCGAGGCGACAGAGATGTGGTTCTACAGAAGGATGCTAAGGATATCATGGACCGAGCGTGTGAGCAAAGATGAGGGCTTAGAGAGGTTGCAAACAAGGAGGAGGCTTATACTTAACATCAGGAAGAGGCAGCTGAAGTTTCTGAGGCTCATAATGAGGAAGGAGGGTCTGGAAAATCTGATACTCACGAGTCGAATAGAGGGAAAAAGAGACAAAGGAAAACAACGCATGACATACCTGGCGGGCTTAAGCAAGTGGTCTGGGGGATAAAGCAAAAGGAAGGAACTTGTTGAGAGCTGCAAGGGATAGAGGGAGGTGCAAAGCCATGATCGTGTACGTCCTGAAGAGACATGGCACATAAAAAGAAAAAGATGTCTTAACTGTAGATTTGTTGTATTGTCTGGTCTTTTGTAGACTAACTTCCTTTTCTCGTCTGCGTCTTTCGTACACTGCATATTAATATTTTCTCAAATCTCGTGGTCGCCATGATTTTGCGTTAATTTGTCAGCGTAAAAACAAAATGGCTTCCCCACAATATTCTTTTTACGTACAGACGTCCATGAAGTAAGTTTTTTTTTCAAACTACATTAACTTCCAACTGTCAGCCGTACACGATCGTTTTCTCAGATCAATGGTTAAAGGTTGCTACTTGCGAATGAAACCTATAGGTCTTATTAAAAACCACGCTCCTTTGAATTTTGTGAACTGGTGCTACAGAATCACAAATAAATAACAGAAAACATCACCACTTCCAACAATAAAAAAATAACTCAAATAGATATGTAAGTCGAAGAGAAAATAATGCCATAACATGTTGATGTTCCACACTACTTCAAACAAAATGTTAAGAAAGAAACCCACATTACAATTAGTGGACGAGAGAAAAGTATTTTTTCTGAAAAACTTTTTTGTAACAAAAGATTGTATAAATTTCAAGCGACAGTAACATTAGTTTCTCAATCTGAATGTTTCTTTATAAAGAAATAGCTAATATTAGAATGAGATAGATAGATAGATAGATAGATAGATAGATAGATAGATAGATAGATAGATAGATAGATAGGAGGCTGCCGGGTGTAGTTTATCGTCATAGCCAGGACGGGATAGCTAAAGAACATAGATAGATAGATAGATAGATAGATAGATAGACTGAGAGAGAGAGAGATACCAAAAAGATCGTTTTTGTTTTCAAAAATGTCCCAATTCTGTTTCCTAGTTTTAACATTGAAAAGAGAAGAAAATATTTTTTTTCATATTATACTCTTCTTACTTCCAGAAATGTAAAAATGCAGCCCAGAAGCAGAAAGAAAGTTGTGCGTACTTTAAAGAATATATTATAAATAATTGAATGTGTCAAAACCAGTTTGCAATGTTTGTATCAAAGAATTCTCTCTGAACTGTGTTCCATGTTTGTATAGACCAGCTGAAGTCGACAGAAATACTGTCATAGCTTGGGAATAATCAACATTATACAACGTGCTAGATAGCCAACATATCTAAACTCTGCAAATGAAACATTTAAAAATACTTCGCAGTCGCTTGATTACATTATTCACTGTAATGTGCAACTTCCATATAAGCTAAACCAATGAACACCTACATTTCGTGTGAAATTTGTTATTTTCACATAAGTAAACATTCCATTTTTAAAACAAATAATGACAGACGATGAAAAGTTGTTACTTTAAGACAATGTGAAATATAAGGGATCATGAAACAAGTAAAACGAAACAACTCAAAAGTAGGTCTTCGTCGACAAATAAGTAATCTTTTATACGATCCGCCCGGAGAGTCAAACGACTAATTTGAACACGTACTACTCCTAAATAAATCAAGTGAAGATAAAATATAACGAATGATAATCGGAATTAGTTAACAGAAATAGTGTAATATTGGCTAAGGATAATGCTGGATATGATTTTTCTTTGATGGCCGTATAAGTATAGTTAAAGCATTACTCAAAAGTTTACACTCATCTTGTATTTTTCAGATTTTGTATGTTTATATTACCAATATTCTTTTTAGAAGGTAGAGTAATGGATAGTGGCTCGGATTGAAAAATCGGAGAGCCGAGTTCGAATTCCAGTCAAATCCATGACATTCACTTACGTGCTAATACCCTTGGGAAAGGTATGAATTCTCTTCTCTCCCCTGCTCCCCAGCTATGGGTAAATAGCAAGACAGACTGTGTTCAATAGCCTTGGATGTCAACTGGTCTACAGCAGAAAACTACCTCACAACCTTCTTCCAATTTAAAACACTATGTTTCTACGAAAATGACATCAAGCTAGTAAAACGATTCGTGACAGTTGTTAAAAACAATGGAATCTATATACTTAACTAATAAATGTTTATTGTGAGTATGTAAAACCTTGTTTGTTATTTCTAACGGGGGTTCGAAATTTTCCAATGGTATAATATATATATATATATATGTGTGTGTGTGTGTGTGTGTATAGTAACAATATATATTTTTATATATCAAGAACAATATTGAGAAAATTGTATGATTTGCATAAGTGGAAAAAAGTTTACTTGTAACGCGTTTCGTCCCTTAGGACTTCATCGGACTAAATTTGTTATGTTGGTAGGGCTACACATGTGCACGAGAGAGGGTGCTGGGAATTTTAGATTTTTTTTTTTTTCATCAAGCTCGTAGAACGATTGGTGACAGTTGTTAAAAACAATGAAGTCTATGTACTTAACTAATAAATGTTTATTGTGAGTATGTAAAATCTTGTTTGTAATTT